AAGTGTAAGTATTGATTTATTGCATAAAAGTTAAAGGACCAATAGTTTTTGCATTACCCATAATGATTTGATGTGGTATAGTGGTAGTAGTTTCACTTCTTTCAATGGATTTTCTTGTTTAGTTGAGTTTACTTTCCATCAAATTCCTATTTCCTTTTAAAATTATTTTAACAGTTCTTGTTTGCTGTATTCAAATTTAAAGTCTGATTCCATATTAAAAGTGCGCCAGGATTCTATGAAACAAAAGGAATCAGCAAGATGAATAAAGCAAGAGTTTCTGCAGGAAACAGGTGGGAATGGTAACTCCCGTTCTACACCTCAGGTCCGCAGCTTGGTGTCGTCTTGAATTCAACCGCTCTCATGTTCAAACCAGCATCAAATCCGTGTTCAAAGCAGCATTCTTCCACCATCAGCAGAATATGTTCAAGACTCCGGCCCAGTCGCTGTCCGACTCTGTTGCTGAGAAAGCGATACATTGTTTCATTATTCTTCATCGCCTGGCTATGTATACGGAACTCCTGTCCTGGGGTTCTCCCAGCAAAACCCTGAACACGGCTCCAGTAGAATACAAGATCTCAGCTGCCAGGGTTTCTCACACGCACCAAGCCTGGCAGCAACATCACTCGTTCCCACTCTAATTTCACCTCCACTGGCTCCTCGGCAATGTCCCGCATCACCTTACAAGACTTCTCCTCCTCACGCTTATCAAATCCCTCCATGCGCTCTCCCTTCAGTACTCTCACAATCTCCTCGCACCCATACATCCTTTTGTTTACCTGCCCGTCCCTGCAACCTTCGATCCTCAGACTCCGGCCTGCTCCCATTCCCCATTTCACGGCCTCCGCACCTCCGGGGAACCGTGCCTTCAGTGTCCCTGCCTCCACCCTCTGGAACTCCCTCCCTGCAGAAATCCGCAACGCACCTTCTTCAACATCTTCAATCAACCCTTAAAACTCATCTGTTCAACATCAACTTTCCAAACAAAACTCCCACCCCCCCCCCCACTTACACTTCCATTTCTGCCCCCTGTTTTATGTTTATGTTTTTATGTTTTATGTCTTGTCCTCGTATGTTTCTTTGTGAAGCAACCTTGAGGTTATGAAAGGCGCTATATCAATTCAAGTTATTATTATTATTATTATTACACTTCAAAATGCCTGGGACACTAACCAAAACAAGATACTGCTGTCTAATATCTCAGATATGTTTACAGATGATCCAGTGGTGAAGGAGTACGCAGTGATATATTCAGTCCACAGTGCTGAGAGATGATCTCTAAGTCATCCTGTTACAAGTTTCTGCAGTGCTTTCTTTTCCTGTTCGGCTCCGGACATTTCTCTGGGGATCCCTTATTAAAAAGCTTTGTGGAAGATGACTGACCTGAGGCGTCCATCCTCTGCTGCAGCTCCCCCCGGGATGATCTTAGTGATGAAGATGCCGGGGTCGTCGCCAAAGTGGGGGTTATCTGTCCCTCCGGCAATGCTGAAGCCCAACCCAGAGTTACCCTACGCCATGGAGAGCATCAGTGAGCACAGAGAGAGAACCTGAATACATGACTCTGCTGCTGTTCTAATGTCACAAGAGAAACTTCCTTAACACTATGTGAGTGCTGATGCAAGTGTCGGGACACGGTTTGCATTAGCTATGCAATCTTTACTTCCATGTTTTTATATAGCAGTGGTTCCCAAGCTTTTGTTTAGGACAGCCGTCATGTCAAGTGTTTAATTTGAGCCAATTTTACAATATGTGAAAATAATATAACATATATAAATAATAAAAAGCTTACTTTAGCTGTTAGTTTACTGGCTGTTGAAAATAAATGAATCCTAGATATCAGCACAACACCAATTGTTCTATCTTTTTTGTTAACTTTCTCCCTCGACACTAATATTTTGATGCATTTTGTTTCTAGTTTTGAATTAATTCATTTGTATTTTTTCAGATCTGCTGAGCTCCTCCACAATCCTTCCACATATGCCTTGGCAACTTGATATTTACCCCCTGGTGAACGAGTAGCATAGAGAATCACTTACCCACAGATGAAAGACGTGTTGTGCACTATTTGACGGCACTGTGTGAAAAATAACCTTGCAAGCATCCTCATTGCCTTCAAGGTATTAACTTTATAGACCTAAGTGTTGACTTTCATTTCTGTTGGAAATCAGTCAAATGTCTTTAAAGTCCATGACACTTTGACACATCTCAGTATGATTACAAAGTGTTCAGATTACCATTACAACATTCTGCCCTTTCTCCTGAGTTAACCTGGCTATTATATTTATTTGTCAGCAGGATCACAAACACTGAATAAAAAATGGCGTTGTGCTCACCAAGGCGACCACTTGAGAGGACCAGAGGCTTGTAATCCATGTTAAAACGATGTCATGATCTTAGAAATGAATTCATGATGTTTACCAAAAAAGCTATTTCAGGTCAGTAGCTGTGTGTATCTGGTATTCAACCCGGTATCACGGCAAGACGTGAACATGTGACGATTTACCATGCTGGGAGACGTGAAGATATCACGATTTCGTCCCTTCAAACGTGACAGTTACACGGTATTGTTAACCCATGTTAACCCAACCCACTCTCTTCAGTCTGCGTACAAACGACTTTATGCAAAACCCACACAAAACAGGGCAAAAGACGGGCAAAAGTGGCCTAAATCATGACAGTAGGTAGCCCACGCCAACCGAGTCACATGGGCGCTCGCGCTCGCCGTCCATAAACATGATTGATATCGGTCCGATTATTTATTATTATTATTTTTATTATTATTATTCTTCTTCTGATTATTATTTGAATACATTGCGCGCACTTTTGACCCCCGCAACATATGTGAAAACTCACCAAATTTCGCATGCGCATCACAAGTCGTGAAAATAGCGATGTGTAATTGGTACCGGAACTTTGCGTAAAAAATTGCGTAGACCACGCCCACTTCCGTTTTTAACGTTAACTCCCCCTACTTTAACTTTCACGTAAACCAACGAAACTCGCTACGCATATCTAGGGTGCGGAGACGAGCAAAAAAGCCTCTTGGAGGGGTATAAAATAACGTACAGGAAGTCAGCCATTTTGAATTTGGCGATGGAAAAAAGCGATTTATCGCGTTTTTCGTCCTCCGTACGAAATCTATCTTGTCCTAGGGACTTTATCCGTACGACTCGAAATTCGTCGGGTAGCTTCTCGAGA